ACACACACACACACAGCACCCCTTAGACAGAAACACACACAGCACCTCTCAGGCTGACACACACACAGCATCCCACACACACACACACACACAGCACTCCACACCCTTACACGCAAACACATACACTGCACCCCTTAATGCAGTATGTGTGTGTGTGTATTCAGCAGTCTGTGTGTGTGTGTATTAAGCAGTCTGTCTGAGTGTGTGTGTATTCAGCAGTTTGTGTGTGTGTGTGTATTCAGCAGACTTTGTGTGTGTATTCAGGAGACTGTGTGTGTGTGTATTCAGCAGACTGTGTGTGTGTACTCAGCAGACTCTGTGTGTGTGTTTGTGTGTGTACTCAGCAGTCTGTGTGTACTCAGCAGTCTGTCTGTATGTATATTTAGCGGCCGGTGTGTGAATGTGTTCAGCAGTCTGTGTGTATGTATTGCATTTGTTGGAGATACTAATAAATATAAGCTTAATTTTATCTATTTATATCATTATTTAAAATTTGTATCATTGAACTCTCTGTTGTGTTCTTCTTTTAAAACAAAGTTGTTAATTAGTTCGGACAACTGTACGAGTTGTTTTTTCTAAACTTAAACCTCAGTATTCAGGTTCAATTGCCGTGTTGGCACTTTGAGGGGAAAAAGTTGGCATGCATTGAGGTTTGGGCACTTGGGCTCAAAAAGGTGAGCCATCACTGCTCTAAGCCAATCGCTAGTTCCCGGTTCATAAAAATGTTTTACTTTTTTATGAATGGGGAGCTACTGATTGGCTTAGAGTGCCAGCTGACCGCTCTAGCCAAGCAGCGGCATCCCTACCCAGTGGCACTCTGTGGTTCCTGACACTCAGTAAATAAAAGTGAACACATTAACACTGATATATTTTTTTTACCTGGGGAGATGAGAAGGTCCAAATTTTTCCTGCCAGGCACAGGTACCAAAGCCTAATGATATGGTGACCAGAATAAAGTTGAGGGTTCACTTCACTTGTCCTTCCTGCTCCAATCTCATTTTCTTCTCCTTCATTTGACACGGTCTTCTTTTTCTTCTGACGCTGTCTTCTCTCCTCCTTGGCTCCTTCACCTCTCTGCTACTTTCTGCTTCTTTTGCGCCCTTCTGCTCCCTTCTGATCCCTTTCTGCTCCTTGCTGCCCCTTTCTGCTTCTTGATGTCCCTTCATGCTTACTTCTGTTCCTTCTCCTTTCTGCTCCTTCTCTTACTTTACCTTCCTGCTCCTTGCTGGCCCTTCCTGTAGGCTGTCTCCCCCATCCCTCACTTACCTGATCTGTAGGGGGCCCCCCTATCACTAACTTTCCTGATCTGAAGGTGCCCCCCCCCCATCTCTAACTTACCTGATATGTAGGCTGCACCCCCCCCCCATCTCTCACTTACCTGATCTATAGGAGAGAGAGATAGAGAAAATATAGAGAACGGCTACCTGGGGGTACCACAGACGCATGGCAACCATGAGGAAGAGGCAAGGAGGATAGCAACATCCAAGTACCTCCAAAGAGTCAGACAGATCCTGAAGTCCCAGCTCAACAGCAAGAACAAGATCCAAGCGATCAACACATATGCCCTACCGGTCATCAGGTACCCAACTGGAATAATAACCTGGCCAAGAGAAGAACTAGTCACCATGGATGTGAAGACCAGGAAACTTCTGATTTGAGGATTCCACCCGAAATCCAGCACCCAGAGACTGTACACCTGCAAGAAGAAAGGAGGTTGGGGCCTGATGAGTGTCAAGGCCACAGTCCTGGATGAAACACAGAGCATCCACAAGTAAATCAAGAAGATGGCTCCCAAAGATGAACTGCTAAGGGAATGCCTGAGACTTCCACAAATCGAGGATGCAGAAAAAGAGCCAGGTCCCTTGACAAGACAAACCTCTCCATGGGGTGTACCACAGGCAAATAGTGGATGTGGCTCACATGACAAAATCCTACCTGTGGTTGGAAAAGGTAGGACTGAATGACAGCACTGAGAAACTAATCCTAGCAGCACAGGAGCAGGCACTCAGCACCAGATCAATAGAAGCTGGAGTCTACCGCACCAGGCAAGACCCAAGGTGCAGACTGTGCAAAGACGCCTCTGAGACAGTCCAGCACCTAGTAGCTGGATGCAAGGTGTTAGCAGGAAAGGCATAGACAGAGAGACACAACCACGTTGCTGGGATTGTGTTCCGGAACATCTGCACAGAATATGGATTGGACCTGCCAGATGGGAGATACCACCAAGGGTAGTTGAGAATGACAGGGCTAAGATCCTGTGGGAGCTTTAAGATCCAGACAGACAAGCAAGTGCTGGCCAACCAAGCAGACATCGTGGTGGTAGACAAAGTACAAAATACTGCAGTCGTGGTGGATGTGGCAATACCCAGTGACTATAACATCAGGAAGAAGGAATATGAGAAGGTGGACAAATACCAAGTACTGAAAGAAGAACTACAAAGGATGTGGAAAGTGAAATCAGTAGTAGTCCCAGTTGTGATAGCAGCACTCTGGGCTGTGACTCCCAAGTTGGGGGAGTGGCTTCAACAGATTCCAGGTGGGACATCTGAGATTGATGTCCAGAAGAGTGCAGTTCTAGGAACAGCTAAGATACTGTGCAGAACCCTGAAACTCCCAGGCCTCTGGTAGAGGACATTCCTTGCTCTTGTTGAGCACTTACTAAACACAGTAATTATTATCTGGAATTGGGTGGCTTTCCCACTTATCAATCTACAATAAAAATATATAGATGCAAGACACACCATTCCTCTGGCTCTTTCTCCCTCACTCTGCAGCAGGCTGATCCCTTCTTTTAAAAGCCTGCCTGCAAATTGACCAGCTACTAATGATTAACAATTAGTAAACATCTAAGATATATATAAGTCCTGGTCTGGCTGTTACATAGCCCACCCTGCTCTCCAAATGCTCCACCCAGGGACCCTTACCATGGTTTGCAGAGTACCAGCAATGTATCTTACAAACCTAATATCTCTCCTTGGGACATTTAATTGAGAAAACTCAGTCTGCTGTTTAGTAAAGCCTGTCTAACATATCTGCCCTCAACAACCATTACACATTTTCTCTCACTATATATATATATATATATATATATATATATATATATATATATATATATATATATATAAATAAATAATAATAATAAAAATAAATTTATTTTCTCTAGAAGCACCAATTGGCTTGATT